TAGTAGGACCTTGGCCCAAATTAAAGTCCAACAAGAGATCCATAGGATATAATGAAATCTAAAATACCTACACTTCTTTACACTCGCTTATAGAATTCATCTGCCACTCAAAACTTACTGAAAACAAGATGTTACTCCTCAAGATACAGAATGCAAAGAGCAAACTGATAATTGCTTCATAGTTTACACCACCAGTTTTCTGTGACTATGAGTAAGACAAGATACTCAGCTGCTTCCTCAAACATACACAACTAGTATGTAAGTGACTAAGTGCACTGGTACTGCTTTGGCCCTTTGTTCAACTTGAGAAAAGAAGGAAACCTGCCCACATGTCTACTGTAAATATTTACAGAAGGTGCACATTCTGTAGGCAACAGAAACCAGACAATAATTCTGTGATATGCGGCTCACCAAGGCTGCAGAAAAATCAAAGCAAGATTCCGAGAAATCAGTTTTTGACAGATTTGAAGATACCAACAACCATCCAACTAGTACAGCTTACATGGGGAAAGGAAATGCAAATAGACCAAAAGAATTGCTTATCAATACTACTGACTGCTTCTGTCTTAAAAATTATTTGCCTTTAGGACCCAGAAAGAGTGTTAGGCAAGTTCTGGCACACATCCACTGTGCTGACCAACTGGGAATTAGCAACACTTAATCATCTACATCAAAAGCAGGGTCTGTTTTTTCCCAAAGGTAAGGCCCACTATTTAAACAAACTGCAATCACATTTTATGTAACAGTAGTGATGCTGCTATTTCTGCCATGTGTTTTTAACCAGTTCTTAGCCACTTGTATCTGTAAGGAATCTGTAAGGTGATAGCAAGTGATGCTTTCTTGCACATGTAATTAACAAAGGCTTGATCCATCTCAGTTACAAATACATACTGCACAGAATAGAGAGGGAGAGTGGAGGGAGAGTGCGGGGAGGAGGAAAGAATGAATTATAAATGCATCTAATTTGGCTGCACGTGTGGACTGAGAAGAGTCCATGGCCCACAGTGTGTAAGCTGTCACCAAATTGCGTTTTGCTAATAATTCATATCTGCAGCCAGCAAATTAAGCCAGCCAAAGTGCCACCTACCCAGGTAGCTGTGCTGACTGTGTTCAGATATTAAACAGTTACAGCTTGGCTTTGCTTAATATGGCTTCTCTTAAAATTTCGACAGCTGGCTGAATGCTCTAGTAGGTTTTAGCTAAATTATCGCAAGGTTTCGATTTTCATCTTAAGCCTTGCAGATAGGTACGTAATCATATTATGCTAATAAATAGCCAGTGTTTCAAGGTCAACAGAATAAAGGGATCAAAAATTGTACAAATCAAAAACATAAAGAAAAGTCTTAAGCAGGCACAAGTTCTAATTTATTTCACATTGATGTTCATCACTGTTGGTCAAATAAATGCTCTTTTGCTTTCATTTCTGTGATACTGTGTGAGTTTCTAACTGCATGTGAGTTGCTTTTGATAAGCGTCCAGCAAGTCTGAAGCATAAAATCAACACATTGCACAGTGAAATATTCCATCTTAACAGACATGAAAGACACATCTCTTCTCCAACAGTGCAGAGATGTATCAAAATGCTGCCAGTACTCAGTTTTTGTCATCTCAAATACCCCATTAAATGCTGTAAACCACTTTGCCATTTCAGCTCTTTCTTATTATTTCACAACGCACTGAACCAATATCTTTTCAGTTGAATGTACCTAGAAAAAAAAAATCTGCATCAAGAGCCTGTTTTTTCCTTTTAATGAATCAAAATATCTTAAGCCTCTCTCACCAAGAACAACCTTCAAGTCTGTATTTGAGACAAACATGCTTACATCAACACTACTTTCTAGAGCAAACTCTGGTCAAACTTATTAAGGTTAAATTTGTATCACTTTGCTTCCAACTCCATTCTTTCCACAGTTTAGTTTTTACCTTGCCCAAGATGCATGTACAATCTTGAATTATCTACTCCTCCCCATCTTCTCATTCCAGATACTAAACATATCATACACCTGTCATGTACATACACCCATCGTACACCTTTTATATACATACACCTTTAAAAAGGTACATTTCCCATTTAACACATTATAAGTTTCTATTTATTTGAAAAGGCACATGGCATATTATACATTACATACAGATATGTAGGGGTAGCAATGAAAACATACAGCTTTTATTATCTTTAGGGAATGCAAGAGATCTTTTACCTGAGTTGAAAACCTTTTTCTCCCAGATTTCAAATGTTTGGATCTTTGGAATCAACTATTTCTTGACTCAACTGATACAACTTTTTGTACCTCTGTACATTAACACATCTCTGCTCTAATAGATATGAGCAATAAGAAAAAAAGACTTTTCAGTTATTCATATTATCCAGAGTTAAAACATCAATGGTTTTATAATAAGCATTGAGTAGAAGAGAAAGTCTGAAAGCTCCAGTAGCAGCATGGATGACTGAGGACCTCCCTCATCCATACTTCCTCTGAAGTAAACTCATCCCAGCCACATCTACATTAGCCACCTTCCCCCAGGTGGTGCTTTTTCTCTGCAACTTCTCCAAAATTAACTAGTGGAAGTATTAAAAAATACTACAAAACAGCCTGGGACCACAAGAGTCTCTTCCTCCTGAGTTGCTGACTTCATTGTATGCCACATCACAGATCAGAAGTTGTTTTACCATTTTATATCAAGATTACATAAGTATTTAAAATTATGAAATTTTAAAGTTTCAATTATTATATTTTACTAGTTAAAAAAAACCTGAAAAATCCTGCACATATCAGAACACAAAATTCAGGGAGAAACCCCAGGAAGACAACATGCCTAGCATAAGAATAAATTAACAGTATGGGGAAGGGTTAAGAATAATGTTCAAGTGGAAATCGAAACAACACCAGTGAGGAAAAGCTTTTCAAAACTGCTGATCCTGCATTTAACAGAAAAATCAGAGCAAACATGTTCACAATAGTAAAGATATGAAACCTGTTAAAGACAAACACATCTCCAAAGAGAAAAAATATGTGCTTTAAGATTCTGTCCATTCCTCAGAGTGACAATGTGAGTTATTCATTACAAGCACCTCTGGTACCCAGAAGGGCCCTCACACTCCAGTGAGGTATAAACATATGGAGGAGCAGAAACAGCCCCTCCTGTTTCCAGGTGGGAGGCTTCCAGATGTGCTAAGGAGGGCTCTCAAACAAGTTGTGTACAACAGTCACAGCTGGATAAAACAGATGAGTCCCAGAGCATACATCTCTCAAAGAGAGGTAATACCTCCAAGCATAACACAAAGGAGTCCAAGATGTTTTAGGGACTGAATGCTGTAAGTGAGTTCAGGTGGTGTTACAAGTATTCCAAATTGTGTTAGATAATATCCTTTATTCACTGTTATTATAGCAAAGTTTGACTGGAAAACTGTACATTTGAGACTAACATAATACAACTCAGAGACACTTGGAATAAACACCGAGTGAAGCAGATATCTCAAGTACATGGTCCCAGAGCAATTCCTAAACTCTCTTCAATCAGACATCTCTTCCAGGTATGCGATGCATTTGAAATACATACTAAAGAAGCCCCTTCAAACAACTCCCTTTCCTACTCTGAGCTGAAGAACCTGCATTTCTGTGTTCTCCTGAGGAATTCCCATAGCCATTCCACTACTTCCTCCACCTGAAAAGGTCTCACATCACTGCTACATTAAACCTAAAGATTAAGCCAGCAACTTTAATTACTGGTTTACAGAAAATGCAAAGAAATAGCTTTTAACACACCAAGAAGTAATCCAGAAATTTAGCTGTAAAGATTATTCTTTATATAAAATACTGCCCTTATTTCATAACTTAGACAAAGGTTACCAAGGCAGTGAATAGTTAAAAAAAATTGTCAATACAGAGCAGGTCAGCAAAAACTTTTCAAATATAAATGTGTTTATATACATTTCTAATACAAACATGCAGTTTTATATACATTTTTAACACAACCATGCAGTAATCCTAGGAAAATCCCAGCATGCTTGTCCTGTTGCTTGTTCTGGGGAAATATAAATGTACAGATACATGTTTCTTACTAGCCCCAAGATTGACTCGCGTTGAAATATAATGATGTCCCTTCCAGCAGTAACATTTTTTTACTGTATATTTTTTATGTAATTGTAGCAATGCTTCAGGAAGTATCCTGGATAGTCACTGCATTTGTTGAGCTCTCCTCACTTTGGTATTTTCTTAAATTCTAAATCAACCAAAGCAAACCTTTAGTGCTTCTTTCACAGCGAAATATTTGCACAGATTTACAACTTCTCGATGAGATTTGGACTCCCTAAGCACTGTAGAGTCTCTAGGCAGACACGTTACTTACGGGTGATCCAGGAACTCATTTAAGTAAGTGCTTCTCTCGCACTGGAAAACAGCATGCCTGTTACTGGGAAGGAAGTGCAGATGCTCACACAGAAGGGGAAAGTTATTGGATGAAAAAATATTGGCCTTATGAGCTCAGTTATTACATTTCTGGTTTGCATATTATGATAATGGATACTTGCAAGACTGCATTCAGTTTTAAGGAATACAAATGCTTTTGTGTCAGTGCAGTGAACTCTCCAGAATTTGAATGAGAAAAGAGGCACAAGCAGAACTATTTTACTGCCATTTCGGTCTCACCATAGGTGAACTCATGTTAAAAAATTAGACCTTCAAAGCTGTCTCTCCCTAGCTACTTTCTGAAGTTCTTCAGCTTATGTTTTTCAAAAAGTTGAAGGCTTATCAAGACCTACTCCGATTTCTGCAGTCATGCTCTGAACCCAGTATTATCTTCCTTTCTTAGCCCTTCTCTGCCTGTCCGTAATCTCCAGACATATCATATTAAGCCATTATAAATCAAATGTGAAGGAGATTATATTTTTCCTCTGCCATTAGCTGTCATTCTTCTCTGCACCCAGTACAACAGTATATAGACAAAACCACCCATCCATAATAGGGAAGTATGCATTTTTATTACTCCTCTCAGAGGAAATTTCACCTCCCAGTCTCTGCAGTCACAGTGAGAAAGGGAGGTTGGACTTGTTTTTGCACTCATGCTATCCCCACTTGTACCAGAAACAATTTGACATTGAGTGTGTCAGATGACAGAGTAATGTATTCAAGGCTGCCAAAATAAGCAGGTAGGATGCTAAGTGGGCAAGGGGTAGAGGGGAGTTCCTGGTGTCCTTGAGTGAAGTGTCTGATGATAAATTAAGGTAAAATTAAAACTAATGCTACTATAAAATCTAACTCCATGAATACTTCATAAAAATGTATTGAAGCTAATTGCCTACCTTGAACTTAACAATTTTAAGAGACCAGCCACAAGCCATCTGTGAAGCACCTTCTAATTTGAAGATTTCATTTGATATATATTTGTCTCCACTATTTAATGAAGTAGGCTCATTAATTTTTCAACAGGTACAACTTATTTTATGAAGTGTAAGTGAAAGGATAGCAGCAATGTAAGGCCATTTCTTAGATTTGTTTCAAAAAGAGAACACTTAGATTCTGTGTCTTAAATCTGTTATGAATAAAGCAATAAATACTGAACAGAAATTACTTTAAAATATCATTTAACCCTGCAGCCACTTCCACCAAAACAATCATGATGGGTGCAGTGCACAGGTTTGACAGCCCCATTATAAACTCATCTGATTGAGCTTTCAATGGATTGCCTGTTGCAACAAGGATATCAGGTGGCAAAGAAAGACTACTTTCTCCTTTCTTTCATAGCAGCTGTTGCTATTTTTGACCCTGATACTTTGTGTTTATTACATCTTCTTCATCAACAGCATTTCTAAAAAGCTGGCTGTGACAGAGATTAACAATCCCTGACGTGTTTCTTAACTGGAGCATATGCAACATTCTGTCCCTCATCCCATGTCTATTCCCAGAGGCAATCAATATCTATTTCCAGCAAGAATAGCAAGATCTACTCCTGCAAACTTCCAGTCATGCTGAGGGCATATTGATCCCTGGCTGCATTTCAGGCTTTGTGTTTACAGGAGTATATGGACGTGTCTGAACAAGACCTGTCCTCATTTCAAGCTCACTGTAAGTCGAGTAACTCCACTTAATATCACTATGAGAACGTGCTGAAATATCATGCTTATACTGTCTTGTTCTTTAGACTCAGCACTGCTCTAGAAGCAGCTTTCACATTTTTAAGCAGCCTGTAAGATGGGCGAGCCTATATCAAGCAATGAGAGATTGCCTAGATACTGTTCCCTGTCAGAAAAACCCTGGTGCAGATTGCAGGGTGTAGTACATACACAGAGCCGTCTCCAGCAGCTCAAGACTCCTCAACACCCCTGCTATGATGGGCATTATCAGGGCCCTGGTCTGAGTCTTCTGCAGAAAGTCTCTCAGCTTGAATCCAGCCTCTGAAACTGCAGAAAGCTCCAGCTGTCTGCAGAAACAGTACTGGGGAAACAGTGCCAGTAAAACCAAAGAGAAAGAAAGAACTTGCTGGAGTGTTATTACAGCTGAATCTGAAGATGACAGCATTTCCTCAGATACACAGACTGTAAGGTAGAGCTGGCATTCCTCTTATCCCTGAGAGATGCCTGCGTATTCAACAAGAAAAAAAGTTATGATGTCTCAGCACAAGACATTTGACTGTTTAGCTGAAAAGTCCATAGTTCTTTTTCTCTTACAGGTTTGGACTGTCTCCTAGTAGTTGAAAACAATAATAAAATTTGAAATTTCATTTCAGTTAATAAAGCTGTTTTCAACTAGTCACCCAAGCCACAAGGATGGGAACAGTGACAAAGAGTAAAGCACACCCAAATCACTGACAAAAGGCTCTGAATTTTCAGCAAAAAGTAAACAAAAGACTATGGCTGCATACTGGAAACAATAGAAATGTATAAATTTATGTAAATTACATGCTGCTAAGAGCTTCAGATCTATTTGATATGCTGGAGGGAAGGAATGCCATCCAGAGGGACCTTGACACGCTTGTGAGGTGGGCTGATGCCAAACTCATGCAGTTTAACCATGCCAAGTGCAAGGTCCTACACCTGGGTCGGAGCAATCCCAGGCACAGCTACAGGCTGGGCAGAGAAGAGACTCAGAGCAGCCCTGCGGAGAAGGACCTGGGGGTACTGGTCGATGAGAAAATGAACGTGAGCCAGCAGTGTGCGCTTGCAGCCCAGAAAGCCAACTGTATCCTGGGCTGCGTCAAAAGGAGCGTGACCAGCAGGTAGAAAGAGGTGATTCTGATCCTCTGCTCTCGTGAGACCTCACTTGGAGCATTGTGTGCAGTTCTGGTGTCCTCAACATAAAAGGACATGGATCTGTTGGAACAAGTCCAGAGGAGTCCACGAGGATGATCAGGGGGCTGGAGCACCTACCATATGAAGACAGGCTGAGAAAATTTGGGCTGGCTGTGCAGAGACCTCAGAGCAGACTTCTGGTATCTGAAGGGGGCCTATAAGGATGCTGAGGAGGGACGCTTCTTTAGGGTTTGTAGTGATAGGACAAGGGGTAATGGGTTCAAACTTAAACAGGGGAAGTCTAGGTTAGATATATATAAGAAGTTATTTACTCTGAGGGTGGTGAGGCCCAAGGTTGCCCAAGGACGTTGTGAATGCTCCATCCTTGGTGGTGTTCAAGGCCAGGCTGGACAGAGCCTTGGGTGGCATGGTCTAGTGTGAGGTGTCCCTGCCCATGGCAGGGGGGTTGGAACACGATGATCTTAAGGTCCTTTCCAGCTGTAACTGTTCCTTCCATGTTTCTATGATTCTATGAAAAACCATGATAACTGGTGTTTTAAAAATATAAAAAGGAGACTGATAGAGCAGCATATTTGAATTGGTAAGAAAAAAAAATAATAAATCAGCATGCTTCTTATAACTAGGTATGATTTCTCATGATACAGATGTGCCTTGAAGAGTCACATTAACACAGTGTTATTACACCCAATATCTCCCCACCCCTAGGTCACAGATTAAAATTAAGCAGAACTACAACTCTATTTAAATTATAATACACCTCTCATTTCATAGAGGAATCTCATTATGAAAGTCATAATTGCAAATTGCCCACCACACACATTAGGCAGAAGTTGGATTTATTTTAAATTAAAAAGTAGCATTTCTTATACCTCACCAGCATACTGCAAGGGTTATTATAACATTTTGGAGAGCTCTAGTTTTAGTTTGTCTTCAACTTTTGTACTGTAGAAAAATGAGTTTCTTATTTGAATTAACATTCTTGATACATTTTATAAGATGACCATGCCTCTTTTTTTGGCTTGTCTTCTCTCAGGGTATCATAAAGTTAAGTTTGACCTTACCACCACAGAATACCAGAAGAAATTTAAGAGCCTACTGTTTAAAATGGATTCAAAACAATGTTTTCATCAGGTTAGGGGTTACTTTGCCTGCTACATAAATTTTAACATATTCATCCAGATAGGTAATTATTCATAAGAAATGTATTACTAGCCCTGACAAAATGTAAACAGTTTTGATAACCCAAGGTGGTTGCAAGACGGGGAGAATGTTTCCAAGTTACCCTGCTTCTTCAAAGTACTAGTAAAAGTTTCTTTTATTTTTTTTTTTACCTCTCCCATGCACACCACACAATATAGGCAACAATATTTATGTCCAAAGTTACAAAGCCAGGATCTTTTTCCTGCCATGATGTGGCTATTTGTCAACACCTCACATACGCTGGTTTCAACAAAAAAAAAAACCCGCAGTACCCCATGGGTAATCAGCAGACTAAACAGTAAGCTCCTGTCCCACAGGTTAAGTGGAGATACTGTGGTCCAACGCTGATGTTGTGGTACTGAAACATCAAAGTCACTCATCTAGATTCCCACCGAAGTGGGCTCTGTTATGGCAAACAGATCTATAGACTGGACGTTTGTTTTACTTCCAGTTTTCATGGACTTTGCCAGAATATTCATTGTTGAAAGGATTCATTCAGTAAAGAGTCATGATTATTTCTCTTGAGTTTGTTTCCTGCAACTTTTGAGCACCTCTGTATATGTAATAGTACACAATGATCAGAACATTGCTGTCCGTGGGACTTGATAATAACACAGAACAGAATATTTCTAAGAATAGAATATTTCACTTAGAAGGGACTTGCAGTATATATCATCCATCATTTTTATCCCACAACAATATAAAATTATTTTTTGAATATTTAGATCTTGAGGAATTTTTTCCATCTGTAATTAACCAAGACGGAAAAACATCTATGCAACTAGCTCTCACAGTGTGCAAAGTGTGTTCTATTTGTCTAATGCAACATAACAACAGTTTTTATTTAAATTCAGTAGTAAGAGTAAAAAAACCAACACATCCTTGCATAAATCCTCATGCTGTAAAATCAGGGTGAAGAACAAGCAAATCCAATATTTTACATAAACCATAAATACTGAAACTTCAGCCAAGAATTTTAAGTGCAGTTCAACAATTGATAACGAAATTCTGTTCCCAAACTGCCGAAGTCATTCTGAACAAATGCTAATAGAGAATGAACCATCATGAGCTGTTAGCCTAATTCCTTTCTGCACAGAGGATTTTTTGTTAATTGTCCCTTTATTGTCTTGGACAAAGTTACAGAATAAATTTTAGAGCAACTTTCCAACTATAGTATACTAATAAGATTTTCACTTGGAGCAGCCAGCATTTAAAATAAAAGGCTAACAACTGACAGGAGCTGCAACCTTCCTGCACACCAAAATGCATTGTCTAATTTCACTGCAGCAGCACTTCACAAGCAAGCCACAGGTTATGAACTTATTGCAGAAAAGCCATTATTGAAAAGTAAAACTGGATAAAGCTGATCAATAGGGACAAACTGGACTGGCATTGGAAAATAAAGGGGACACATCAAGATGGACAGATGACATGTATGCAGAAGAGTCACTATCATGATTTGTAGAGTTTAAGTGTTTGAATGACTGGGGCAGACATATGTTCCTAGAAATTTTGTTGTATCTAATATGGGGTCAAGATGGAAAAAAAGCATACAGAAGTGCCTGTTTAAAGGGAATGGACCTAGGCAAAGTTCCCTTTATGGCTAAAAGACAATGTGAAAAGTGGAAAGCGAAGCAAGGTCCTCTGAAGGTGAAGTTAAAACACTTGTGACAGAAAATCAGGAGCTTGCAGAATGCGAAGAGAAGTTAAAAATGGTAAAAGGCATTGGCAGTACACAATCTCTAGGCAGTATTGTCAAATCATACATGATTTTGTTACAAGAATTGGGACATTAAGTTTTGAAAGCCTGCTCAGGGAGCAACAGAGCAGAGCACACATTTTATACATGTTTTAAAGAAATAATCTGAAAAGCCCAAATTAATGCAACATAAGGAAACCTGATAGATGAGGTTATATATGCCCAAGTCACACTTCACAAGAGAAGGGAGCAAGCAACCATGTCACTTGGAGAAAACAGCTGAGGCAGAGTAACTCAGTTTAGTTATTTTAAGCTTGATCTGACAGCAAAGAGATGGATATTGGGATAGATAGATCAAGGTGTTCATTCAGAAAGAAAACAATTCTGAAAGAGAACTATATGTAAGGGCTGTTCACATGAAGGAAATTCTGTCAACAGATTCGTAGCAAATCACTTGTTTCCCAGACCTGCAATTACAACTCTTTTCATAGACAGTTACACCTGCATACAAAACATCATATTTGGAGAAAATGAAATTATCCCAGTTCAGTATTTCCTTTCCAGACAGCTTTCTTCTCATATACCTCTCTGGCTATAAGACAAATAAGAAAGCAAGGGCACAGACATCTTATTGCTGGGCCCTCTGCATAAAATACACTCTCTAGAGTAACAGGGCAAAACAGCACCAGATCCTTTTTGTCATTGTTCAAATTCAGCACATGCCAAGCATTCTGCAGACAGTTTCACTCGCAGAACTATTGTGCATGAGTTTTGAAAGCCACCTGCTGACTTCAGAACCTGTGTTTTCATATGTATGTCAAAACAGCCCAAATACCCTTCACTCAGCAAATTAAAGATTCACAAGTGTGGATTTCCAAGAGCTCAACCATCCTGACATTATGACATCCTGTTCATTATGGCAATCTGTTTTCATTTCCTGTAGTCTTAAACCTTTGCATAAACCTTGTCTGTAAACCTGAACTTTGAAGAATTGTGAATATGTTAGGCAAAGCATGCAGCTGCTTGAATATTCTGTTCAAGTCTACTTCCAGACGTATAAAAGTATCTTATTTATTGCTCTACAGAAGCACTAGAAACCCACACCTCATCCTAACAAAGTGCACTTACCACAAACAAAGAAACTACCATAAGCCACATTAAAAATATTCCTTTCTAGTATTTACCAAGGTCAAAATGTAAAAAAATACAAAGCAAACTACATCGCAACATTTAGGTCTGTTTTGTCCTTAAGAACACCCATAAATTCTTTCTTAGCAGATCTTGTTCCCATCCGAGATCAAAGTATCCTTTTCCCCTTTTATTGTCCTCTAGTTTTATCACTGAATGACGACAGGATTACAGAAGGCTCTGATTTCTGCAAAAGTATCAAGCAGCCAAGTACTCAAAAACTCTAGCTAAAGGAACAATC